CACACACACACACACACACACACACACACACACGACTAATAACAAATAAATGAATAATTTCATGTTTGATGCCAATACTCAGGAGGCAGAGGTAGACAGAGCTCTGTGAGTTCAAAGCCAGCCTGGTCTATATATTGAGTTCTACCTAATGCTCCATAGAGATACTTTGTCTCAAAACAACAGACGTTAAGACAGAACAAAATAAATTGGAGCCTGGAACAAGGGATTCTGGGGGAAGTTGAGCACAGAAATGTTAAGGGAACCTGGAGGTTAAAGAATGAGATTGTCATAGTGTGATTGCTATGTGACCCAGTAGACATTGGACTCCGAATTATACAAAAGTGAGAAGTGACAGCCGTGGCGGGTGAGTGGTGGGGGTTGGGGGGTGGGCAGAGTCTCCAGGTGATGTAAAGTGTGCACAAAGGCCCTGGGCCTTCAGGGTCACTTGGCTGATCCAGGAAGTGCAAGAGGAGGAGCAAGGAAGAGCTGAGCAGAGCCAGGCTGGCCAGTTAGCAGCAGGGGTGATGGCAGCGGGAAGCCATGGGGGCTTTAAATAGAGCTCGCTTGTTCTTGCTCGGGGATGCATCTTCAGTTTCTGTGGGGAGGGCGGGGCGTGAGCTTGCCAGGCTGATGGAGGCCTCTGCCTACAGGCCTTACTTCACCTACTGGCTGACCTTCGTCCACATCCTCATCACCCTGCTGGTGATCTGCACCTACGGCATTGCGCCTGTGGGCTTTGCCCAGCATGTCACCACCCAGCTGGTGAGTAGGGCTCCGCCGAGGGGCTTCGGCACAGTGGGCACCAGTATCTGCCACCACGGCGACCTGGCCCGAGCTGGAGGTGCTGCGGCTCGCCTCTTCTGTTCTGGGGATGCCACCCCTCCCCTCTTCTCTCACACTCAGGGCTCTGGCTCCTCTTGTCCTCACACTGCCTCCCTGATAGGTGCTGAAGAACAGAGGTGTGTACGAGAGCGTGAAGTACACCCAGCAAGAGAACTTCTGGATCGGCCCCAGCTCGGTGAGGCCCAGGCTAGGGGTGCCTGGGAGCCTGTACCCCGTCCACTCCACACCAGGCAGCTGGGCGGCTGGGGGAGGTTCCAAAGTGGAGACAGGGTGCCCTGCCCCTTCTAGAGTGCTAGCTCACCAGGTCCTCTCCCGATTCCAGATTGACCTGATCCACCTAGGAGCAAAGTTCTCACCCTGTATCCGGAAAGACCAGCAAATTGAGCAGCTAGTGCAGAGGGAGCGTGACATTGAGCGTGCCTCGGGCTGCTGTGTCCAGAATGACCGCTCGGGTTGTATCCAGACCCAGAAGAAAGACTGCTCGGTGGGTACAGCCCCCTGGCCCTGCCAGCCCCACCACAGCCCTACCAGATCGCCAGCCTGGCTGGCAAGCCCAAAATCAGGCTGGAAAAGTTGGACCGCTCCTGGGAAGTACCCGAGCCCTGGTCCTGGGGGGTTCCCTGCCTGCACCATTCAGGTGATATTGCCCGGGCATGACCTGACCTCCTCTCCACCGTCTAGGAGACCTTGGCCACCTTTGTGAAGTGGCAGAATGATACTGGGCCCTCAGATAAGTCTGATCAGGGCCAGAAGCAGCCCTCAGCGGTTGTGTGCCACCAGGACCCCAGGTACAGCCTAGAGCTGCCTTCTGGGATGCTGGCGGGTGGGTGTGGGGGCTGGGGTGTCCCAGTTCTTCATTTTGCCCCATCCGACCACTGCTTTCAGGACCTGTGAAGAGCCAGCCTCCAGTGGGGCCCACATCTGGCCTGATGATATTACCAAGTGGCCGGTGAGTGATTCATCCGGAAGGCTGTTGGATGAGGGTGGGGACATTTGGCTTCCTGTCACTGAAGCCCACCGCCATCCGTGCCCTCTCTCTTAGATCTGCACAGAGCAGGCCCAGAGCAACCACACGGGGTTATTGCACATAGACTGTAAGATCAAAGGCCGCCCCTGCTGCATCGGCACCAAGGGCAGGTGAGCTAGACACCAGCCCTGCAGGCTGATGAACCTCTGTAAATGTCCTCCGGTCTCTGCTCATGGCAATGGGGAGGCAGGGGGGGAGGGGGCCGTGAGATAGATAGAAAGAGAGCTTGCTCCATCCTGCCTGCCACAGCCAGGTGCTTGGCTGTAGCCTAAGCGATGCCCTGTCCGCTTCCTGTCCACAGCTGTGAGATCACCACTCGGGAGTACTGTGAATTCATGCATGGCTATTTCCACGAAGAGGCAACACTCTGTTCCCAGGTGGGCAAGGCTATCTGGGGAACAGAAGCTGTAGGGGTCCTAAGATTCACTGGATCCTTCCCAGTTGGAAGCCTCATGCCTAGCCTGCTTCCTGGGGCAACATTAACAACCCTGTGTCCCCCACCCAGGTGCACTGCTTGGACAAGGTGTGTGGGCTACTGCCTTTCCTCAACCCTGAGGTCCCTGACCAGTTCTACCGGATCTGGCTGTCTCTATTCCTGCATGCCGGGTAAGAGGTGCCTCGCTGCCCCGTGCCCTGTGCCTTCCCACCAGCGTGGAGGAGAAAGGGCTTCTGGACCCTGGCTCACCCCGCCAGTGCCAGCTACCCCTGTGGTGTGCCCAGCTGCTGGCCGTGGGCACAGAAGGAAGGCTGATGACGCTCATGTCTCTACCCCAGCATAGTGCACTGCCTTGTGTCTGTGGTCTTCCAAATGACCATCCTGAGGGACCTAGAGAAGCTGGCCGGTTGGCACCGCATCTCCATCATCTTCATCCTTAGTGGCATCACCGGCAACCTGGCCAGCGCCATCTTCCTCCCCTATCGGGCAGAGGTACTAACTTGGGAGACGAGGGCAAAGGCGGTGGAATGCACCCTTCCTTTTGGTCCTGAAGTGTGGCATATGGGGAGGACCAGCCCCAGGATCTGCAGTAAGAGCACAGAGCCTCTATTGTGTCCGCCTTAACTACAGGTGGACAGCTAAGCTGGGACTTGCTGGTTGGTCTCTTAATTCTTGGCGGAATGGAACAGGGGTGGCCTTGAGTCACTGGGGATCCCCACTCCTTGCTCAGGGAATTCCTACATGTGGCTGCTCTCCACCCTTAGGAGGAGCAGCCTCCTAAGGTCTATTGCTCCTTCTGGCCTGTGCTCTGTCCACCGCCTGTGGTCTCCGGAGCAGGCTGGCTTATGCCGAGCAAGTGGGTCCCACACCCAGGTTTTCCACAAGGATGGGCAGAGCACGTGCAGCAACTTCTGCCTCATCCTCTGAGTGCGAGATGCGTCCCGGGTACTCAGAGTCAGTGTGCCACCTCTCTCCTCCTCAGGTGGGCCCAGCTGGGTCACAGTTTGGCCTCCTTGCCTGCCTCTTTGTGGAGCTCTTCCAGAGTTGGCAGCTGCTGGAGCGGCCGTGGAAGGCCTTCTTCAACCTGTCGGCCATTGTGCTTTTCCTCTTCGTCTGTGGCCTCCTGCCCTGGATAGACAACATCGCCCACATCTTCGGCTTCCTCAGTGGTATGCTGCTGGCCTTTGCCTTCCTACCGTACATCACCTTCGGCACCAGCGACAAGTACCGCAAGCGGGCGCTCATCCTGGTGTCTCTGGTCGTCTTTGCCGGGCTCTTTGCCTCCCTGGTGCTGTGGCTCTACATCTACCCCATCAACTGGCCCTGGATCGAGTACCTCACGTGCTTCCCCTTCACCAGTCGCTTCTGTGAGAAGTATGAGCTGGACCAGGTGCTACACTAACTCTGCAGAAATTGTGTCCGCCCCGGGCCATGTGCCTGCAGAGACTTGCTGACCGCGGGGCCCCCGAGCCCAGGGGCTCGCTCTGTAGGCAAGGCTGACTCCATATGAAACAGGTAGTAAAGACGGGGTTCCGCTGGGAGATGAGACCTCCGTTTCTCAGGCCTGAATGTACCTGACTCAAGTTTGGGGACATCCAGGACACCTGTTTCTTCCCGGCTCAGGTCCTAGGCCCTGCCTGCCTCTCTTCCCCCATAGAGACGATAACTTTCCTTCCCAGGGCTCAGGGCTCTGGCCTGTGCAGGTGCCATCTTCTCGTTGTCACTGTGACTGTGACCTCCCCAGGCACACAGCTGCTCCCTCAGTTGTCCCCAGGGTTGAGGTCCCCACCATGCTGCTATGACCCTTTTCCTGTTTCTCCTCTCCTCCCTGTTCTACAAGCCCTTCCTGCATTTGTCCGTGGAGTCACGAGCCTGCTCCTAAGGCTCCGGACACAGCATTGTAGGACAGGCTTTGGCCGTTGTCTGGGGCAGTGACAAGCAAGGAGAAATGGCTATACGGGGATGCTAAGGGCTATTGTTAACCAAAGAAGCCAGATCCCTAAGTCACCAGCTCAGCCCTAGCTCCAGCATCTGTATCTGGCCTCACAGGTGGGCTCTGGTGCCGGGATTGTCCCCACCACCTCTGCCTCACTCCTCCCTGTGTGGCCAGGGGCTGAGCCACCTTGAGGACTGACTGTCAGGCCTGGTGTTTTGTTTGTTTTTCCAATTTATATTATGGTCCTAATTTTTTTAAAGTAACGCTAACTTTGTATGGACGATGTCTCGAGTTTATTAAATGGCATTCTCTGTGAAAATACTGCTTTTAGTCGCAGGCCCCTGAGAAAATGAAGACGAGAGCTTGGAGCTAGAGAGATGGCGGGCTCACTTTCTGTCCTTGGGGAGGACCTGGGTTCAGGTCACAGCTACCGTAACTTCAGCTCCAGGGGACCCAATCCTCTCTTCGCACCTCCCTGAGCTCCTCACACAGACACACATTTAAAATGAACACTTAAGCCGGGCTGTGGTGGCACACGCCTTTAATCCCAGCACTCGGGAGGCAGAGGCAGGCGGATCTCTGTGAGTTTGAGGCCAGCCTGGTCTACAAAATGACTTCTAGGCCAGTCTGAGCTACATGGTAAGACCCTTTCCCAAAAATATTTTTTTTTTAATTTAAAAAATAAAAACTGGGGAATGAGGCAACAGTCATGAGGCCGAGGCAGACTGGGAATTTCTCTGGCATTTAGTTGAGCCAAAAACCGGATTGAGATCACCATGGAGACACCGAGAACTCTGAGAGGATTGGGTTGCACCCTGAGATCTCAACCCTGACTGCTCTGCCTCTGCTCCAGGGCAGGAAGAGGGCTGGCCATGTGCAGGAATGGCCTGTTTGGGCAGAGGTGCTCTTGGCAGAAGGTCAGGTGGCGTTGATCCTCCATCAGCTCACTCTGAAGCCCCTGCACACACCCATGAGCCACAGCCACAGGAACATAGCTGCTTCATTACCAGGGCTGCGGGGCGGGGGGGGAGCATGATAGAGGGAAGCCTGGGCAAGGGGGTGGGCAGGCACACTGGTGCCCAAGCGCAGTGGGGTGTTGCCCTGCAGCACCCTGCTACCCCAAGGTTGCCACCATTCACAGATCCCGACCCCAGGTGCTTCTTAAATTCACCTCCTGGCTGACCCCCATTTCCAGTTAGGAGCCAGGAAGGGGTATCAGTCTGGAAGAGCAAGGACCCCAAGAATCAGGGCACTGCACTGGAATGCAGAAACAGGGCAGGTAGAGAAGGAGGTGTGGGGGACAGGCCTCCCACTGCTCTGGTTTCCCATCCTGTGCTTCGGCACAGTTCAGAATGCGAGAGCTCCTCTGGGGACAGACGGCAGCTTGTGCTGCGGTAAAGCCACCTCGGAGGAGGGCGTGGTGTGGGAGTTAGACAGGAGCCCCCAGCCTGCTGCTCCCACCTCTTCACCCCCAAGAGGGCCGCTTAGGTCAGCAGCCGCTGTTTCTGCGCAGAAAGGCGTGGCACCGTAAGGAACACTGCAGCTCCATGAAGGTGAGGGAGCCCACGGTGACGGCGCACGGGCCCACAACCTGGAAGCCAAATTTCTCATAGAAGGGCACCAGTGGGTCCTCGCACATGAGCACAGCCCGACGGACAGAGGGCTGGCTCCCCAGGTGGTGCAGGTAGCGCCACAGCAGGACGGAGCCCTTGCCTTGCTGCCGGAAGGTGCGGTGCACTGCCAGTACGTGCAGGTGCGCTGTGCGGCCTCCAGGCCTGTGTAGGGTCAGCGACTCCTGGGGGTGGGCAGAGGACAGACGTCCTGGTTACTTACGCTAATACCTGCTCCTCTAGACCCAATTCTAACCAGAAGGAAGGGTGTCCCAGGTACCAGAGTAGCCAGTAGCTTCTTTGTCTGACAGGGCCCACCTGACTGGGAGCCACCTCTACAGTCCTACAGACAAAACTTCAAAGGTCTGTCAAGACTCTAAAGCTGCATTTTTCAGTCTGTGGATTGCAACACCATCCCCCTACCTCCCACCCCACCACTCCCCACCCCACCACACACACACACACACACACACACCCGCTTTCCCCTTTCGCAGTGGTCACCTAAGACCATTGGAAAACAGGCATTTACATTACGATTTGTAACAGTAGCAAATTTCAGTTATAAAGTCGCAACAAAAATAATCTCATGTTGCCACAACCGTACTGAAGGGCTGCAACTTCGGGAAGGTTCCGGAAGGTTGAGGACGCTACTCTCTCTAGAGGGTCAGGTAGAGGGCTCTTGCCTTGGGAGGGGCCTACTGCTTGGGTTTACTCTGCTCAGAAGGAGGGGACGTCCATCCCTGAGGAGCTCACCCTGCCCTCACCTGAGTAAGTCTCTCCTTGTCCCAAAGTGAGCCGATGATGAAGGCCACAAGGCGACCCTGCTCGAACCAGCCCAAGGACAACTCTGGACACAGGGTTAGGAAGTGTCGGATCTCATCCAAGTAGAGGGGACAGGTACCGGAGACAGAGATAAAGGCTGTGGCAGAAGGGCAAGGGTCAATGACTTCTGTGCCACTTGCCCATTGTGTGGCTAGACAAGTGGTCTGTGTGTGTGTCTGTGTGTGTGTGTGTGTCTGTGTGTGTGTGTGTGTTTCTCAAATTTAACTCCCAAAGGCAGGCCTCGGGAGGAGACAACAGCCAGTTTAGAGTACCCTCCCAAGGGCCACTCACCTTCACGTTCAATCTCAAACACGCTGACGGCATCCTCCGGAGCGAGGCAGCGGAACTCGCTTGCAGGGAGTGTGTGGCGCCGCTGGCAGCCTAGAAACTCCGAGGTCCCAGGTGGCATGTGCGGGGCCACAGGTTTCAGGGAGTAGGTGCTCAGCATGGGCATCTGGCTGCTGAACCCTCCCCCGGGTTCTCCAGCTTCAGAAGTGGTCCCTTAGCACCTGTCAGAGAAGAGAGGGAGCCTGGCCTTTGTCTTGAAGAACACAAGTCAGGCATCTCTGGGGACAGAACCAGTCCCCGGGTGCCTGTACTTCCTGGCAAATTCCAGGAACTTGGAATGTTAGTGTATCTCCTCACTTTCACTCAAGAGCTAGAGGCTAACCTGGAGAGATGGCTCAGTGGTTAAAAGCACTGGCTGCTCTTCCAGAGGACCTGGGTTCAATTCCCAGCACCCACATGGCAGCTCACAACTATCTGTCCTCCAAGATCTGACACCCTCATACAGACACACATGCAGGCAAAATACCAATGCACATAAAATAAAAATAAATTATTAAAACAACAATGGAAGAGCCAGAGGTCCCTTCAAGCAGTTGTCCAAAGCTCCAGACAATCCAATGCCCTCCAGGTAGACGAGCCTTGATAGATGTGGACACCTCAACACTGTTGCCCAAGGGGACAGCAGAGCAAGGGTGTATGGACCTCCAACCTCCTCTACTGAATCTGTGGGGTGGGCAGGCACCCAGGCCTCTGATACCGCCAGTTATGTGGCTTGTCTCACCCAGTGGGAGACTTCTAGTCTTTTGCGCGAGACAGTATGGCCAGGAGATTTTTTTATTTCGTTTTTGCCTTTTAACAGAAGTGTGTCTGTGTGTGAATATGTGCACAAGTGTGCATGAGCCCACAGAGGCCTGGAGCTGGAGCTACAGGTGGTTGTGAGCTGCCCAGTGTGGATGCTCAAATTGAACTCAAGTCCGCAGGGAGAAAGATAGGAGCTCTTAATCTCTGAGCCATCTCCCCCCACCCCAGGCTTGGAACTTTTTAGGTTGCCTCAGACTTTAGTCCAGGAGAAAAAGCTCTTTAATTAATGTGAGCCTGGGCACCACATTTTCCTGGATGACGTCAGACTAGGTCATGCTCAGGAGATGGGGGATAAGAGGGTTAAAGAGTCTGAGGCTGCTGAGTCAGGTGGGGAGGGTCAGGTATGGAGGGCACTCAGGGAAACCTTCCGTCAGCTTAGGCTCACAGGACATGCCCAGGGGCTATCATCTTTCCTATGACACCTGACAATGCGGTGGTCCTTACAGGGTGCCTTTCATACCTCTGCCTTCAAAAGGGGCTAGGAAGTTAAGGTGAGATATCTCAGCAGGTAAATGGACCTGCCATTATGCCTAATAACCTGAGTTTGCTGCTGGGACTCACATGATAGGAGAGAACCGACTCCCACAAGACTCCTCTGTCTTGCACAAATACACACATACACACACACACAATAAATAAAATGGAATAAAAATGTCCTTTTTTTTTTTTTTTAGATGAGCATTGGGGATAGCTCAAACAGGACTTAAGCACAATCCCCAAAATGCAAGAAAAACTCAGGTGCAATGCCCATTGCCCGGTATCTACAAACCTAGCACTGGTGAGTCAGGGATGGGCAAACCTGGGGTTCACGAGCTCCCTTAGCCAGCCCAGCCTACTGATGAGCGTCAGAACAGTGAGAGACCCCATCCCAGAAGATGAAGTAGATAGTTCCTGAGAAATGACAGCAAACCCCTGGCCTCCATTACACATGCACACGCATACATACAAAGAGTCAGAGAGAGGGGACCCACTTACCAGAACTGTAAGGAGTCCAAGTGTCCCCCGACACAGAGTTAGTCACCTTGAGGGCTGTCACCAGTTGCAAGAGCTAGGAGAACCAAAGACTCCTGTCGGCAAGACAGCTGTAACCTGCATCCCCCTGGCAGCGTGTGATGTGCTTGGAGATTTCTAATCCCCCTGGCCCTGCCTCCCACGTTACCCCATGTGGTACAATGCCAGCATGATTTGGTGGTCAGGCCTGGCCCCATCCTGCTGAGGACAGGCGTCAGCAGTGGCACAGAGGACGCAGAAGGAATCACTAGCAGCTGTCTCAGGCCCTGGGAAGAGCACGGACTAAGCCTGGGGGTGTGACTATAATCCCTGCCCTCTCCCCAGCTGGCTGGGCACCAGCAATCATCTGTCTTTCAGAGGTCAGTGTGCCCATACTCCTGAGGGTCCTTCCTGGTCAGGTAGTCGGCTACTGCAGTCCACAGTACATCCTACCAGTGGAGTGAAGCATTAATCTAATTAGTCTTATCAATAAAAACCCAGAGTCAGATATCAGGGTAAAAGCTGAAAGATCAGAGAAGCAGCCACCAGAGACTTCTTACCTCTCTGAATTCTCTGACCAAAAAAGGCAAAGATCCTGTCTCTGCCCCTCATCACTTCTTTGCTCCGCCTAGCCTTTTCAGTTTCTGTCTTCAGTCTGTACAGACCTCTAGACCTCCATGGTTAACTAGTGGCTAGCTCCACCCTCTGATCTCCAGGCAAGCTTTATTTGTTGGAACACAAACAAAATATCACACAACATTTCTCCCTTTTTGTCTAAATAAAAAGTGAAGGTTGTAACTAACATAGAAAAACTATATACAATAAGTATAACTATATATATATATATATACAATATATACAGTCAAGGATTATGTTAACAATGTCTAGTCTGTTTGCATTTGACAAATTCAGAGAAAATACTCCATTATCTATTATATCCCAGTGAGTCCAAAGTGTTGTACCTAATCCACTTTCTATCCTAACTTGTTAGTTTGTTTGTTTGTTTGTTTGAGGCAGTGTTTCTCAATGTAACAGTCCTAGCTGTCCTAGAGCTAGCTCTTGTAGACCAGGCTGGCCTTGAATTCAGAGATCAACCTGCCTCTGCCTCCTAAGTGCTGGGATTAAAGGTGTGTACCACCACCGCCTGGCTATCCTAACTTGTATTACCAGCCCCAAACTATCCTTTTATGTCTCTCAACCTTATACACTTTACCTTTTTTTTTTGTGAGTTTCTTTTCTGAATTTGTTAAGAAGGAAAACTATAAATATCTAGTCTTCAACTCCATCAGAGGCCCGAGAAGGAAATATTACCTGAATAAAGAGGAAGTGCAACCAAGCAACTTCCAAAAAAATGTGAGAAAGGACAGAAACAGCTTGCTGCCTGGACAGTCACCCAAGGTTCTTCTGTAACACTGGGGCATCCATTTTCGGCCAAGAATATCTGACAGACTTTTCCGTGAAGCGGGATATTCTGAAGGGCTGTTCTACCTTGTCTTGGCAAAGTTTGGCAGTCACTTTCTTTTGTGTCCTGCTTGTCCAATTTGGACAGCACACTCTCAGCAGTCAAGGGAAGGGCATTTTCTTGCCCAGTGACTAACTTTACTACAAACTAAACTCCATATGGAATTTCTTCAATGCCCATCATCTTCTGTGAAGTAGATTGGTGCTTCCAGGAACAGACATGTCTCATTGTCACAAAAATTAAAAAAGAACCTATGTTATTAAAACATTTTAGGCTGGGTGGTGGTGGCACATGCCTTTAATTCCAGCACATGGGAGGCAGAGGCAGGCAGTGCTCAATAAGTTTGAGGTCAGCCTGTTCTGCAAAGCTTGTTCCAGGACAGCCTGGACTGTTACACAGAGAAACCCTGTGTCGCAAGAAACCAAAAATAAAAATAAAAATAAAACATCTTAAATGACGTATTCTGCAGATCTCTGAAGTATTTGAAGACAATCTATCTAAAACATATCCCAGGGCTGGAGAGATGACTCAGCAGTTAAGAGCACTGGCTGCTTTTCCAGAGGTGCATTCCCTGGAGCTACCAAAAGAGGGTGCACTTCCTAGTATTCATGATCCTCGAAGGACAGCAGTTCCAACCTTGACCCTTGGGGAGACCAGGGCCAGTACAAACACCGTCACCACACACACACACACACACACACATGCACACACATTTTGTGATCTGTGGGATCCTGTTTCCCGAGACCCCTCTCTGCTATTTGATGCCCTAGTGGCTCCTGTCCTTGCCTCAACTGCTTGTTTCCTGGCTACTTCCATTTTTCCCCTGTATGAGACACTCAGCAGACTTTCCATGGTTGATCAGAAAGACCTCCTTAGGGTTAGCCCGTTGGTCTGGTGGGGAACACAGTCAGCGCCCCAGCTAAGCGCCCATACTGCCAACATCCAGGGTTTCCCATGGCTTGTGCCCTTCTTTGTTGCTGGCTCCATTGCACCCCCTGGTGGCCAACCGCAACCACAGGTGGATG